TAGGAGCAAAACAGAAAAACAACATACCTCCTTATAGAATGATCTATCTTAACTGTGGTAAGACAGCACTATGTAAATTGCAATAGCAATGTGCCCTGTTGTACATACCTGAATATTCTGCAAACTATTTTGTCTGACAACAAAGCTGGTTTTTAATCTTTAGGTACAAGAAACAGGGGAAAACTATGTATCTCAACAGTGACCTCTAGTGGACAAGTCTTAAAATGGTTGTCTCAAAAAATAATTCCTCTTTATGAGTGAAAACAAGCAGAAAAAATATTCACAAAGCAAACAGTCCAAAACATATACCAAGTGATCAGATTAAGGAGCAGACTGAAAACGGCTCAGCCAATACTGACTTTAAAGGAAGGTAATCACAATGGCAGAGGGCGGAAGGAGGAGGGAAGAGAGACCCCGGAAGACAAATCTTTGGAATAATTTCTATGTTCCCTTCTAATAGTAACACTGAGGGTGAGCCCTTGTGCAAATCATCTCAGACTGCTGAGAATTAGCACAACTCATCCCCCAATCAATCTACTGATCAAAAGATATGCCTATTTTATGTTCGACATACTTCTGGCACTCTCCTGGGCGGGGGGCGGCCACGTGCAGACAGGAGTGTGTGGTTTGGCCTCCCAGGCAGAAGAGCAGGAAATGCTTCAGGGGGGGGGGGGGTGCGGGTAGGATACACTGTAGGAGCCATGGTGGCACGGTGGTTAAGCGTTCTGCTGCTAACCGAAAGGATGGTGATTCAAAAGACCTGGTGATCTGCTCCCATAAAGATTACAGCCTAGGAAACTATGGAGCAGTTCTACTCCATCCTACAGGGCCGCTATGAATCGGAATTGACTCGATGGCAATGGGTTTGGGTTTTTGCTTTTGGGAGGATACACAATAAACATTGGACAGGGTTCCTAACTTCAAGAAACTTATAACTGCATGAAGAAACTGGTGAATGATTTGGGGCCTTGAGTATATAAAACTAACTTTAAGTGAAAGAGGAACACATCCTGAAACCAGTGAGAGAAGGCTTTCTGGGAGAAGTGAAACTCAGGGAGAGCTCAGCTGAGCCCAGGAGGGTTGCTGCGTGGAAAAAAGCACCCACTGGTTGCTCGTGAAACCAGTTTTCTCTACCTGCAGATTTCTTGGGGTACCTCAGTAATACCTGTCACCGCACATCATTCCTGAACTATGAAAGGACTCTTATGACTATAAAAATGATATTAACATCAAGTCATATGGTAAATTTATACGGACATATGGTAATGTTTCTTTAGAGAGCTCAGAGTCCAGTGCATTTGAAATGAGCACACAGTGAGTAAGAAACACAAGTTTGTTGCAGCCCCATCCACTCAAGTTCTTATGCCTGTTAATTCAGAAGAAATCATCCTATTTCCTACATGCACCATTTCACCTCAGGCCAGCTAGCTCTTCTCTGGCCCTCCTGGTCATATATCTGCTTCCTTTCGTCAACCACTACGGGTTTATCCAGGTAATTACTGGGAAGCCACTATGTGCTCAGCAACAGGCATTAAGGAAGAATAAGAAATGGTTCCTGCTCTCAAGAAAGCTGAAAATCTACTGGGAACAAGAGAAGTACCCTGAAGTGATAGGACAAGGAAGTGTTAAATTGGAGTTTGTTTGGGGAAGACAGATTTCAAGTGGGCAAAAGCAGTCAGGGAAAGACGGCCCGAGAGGGCTGAGGCAGCTGCTGCTGAGTTGGGGGAGGAAGAAAGGCACGCCAGGAATAGAGCGCAGGAGCAGAGCAGGGCTACGCATGGGGAAGAAAAGATCAATCCATTTTACAGCAGTATGTGGGGAAGAAAGGTTGGCCGTGGGGTGGGGGGCCAGAAGAGGGCAGGTTTTGAAAGTCAGACAGAGAGAAAGCCTTCAATTAGGTGTGAGCAGCATTGCAGGCAGGTGCACAGAGAAAGTATGTTTATGAAGGGATTGCCTGGCAGCAGAACCTCATCTTAATTCTGAAACTATGGGCCAGAAATAATCTCTGTTGGCATCCCAGAGTAGCATTTGCCCAATCATAGCAAGAATGCAGAATAAAAAGATTCACTTGCTACTCTTGTGTCCCTCTCCTTGAATACCACATGGACATGTATCTAGGAAAGTAAGTTCTGGCGAAGCAATTCCCCACTGACTTCAACAACCCAGCAGCACTGCCCCAACCACACAAGATTAAATCTCAGTAGTTTCACTGTAATAGTGATGAAGATCTAACAGTGATTAGCTTGACAAATTTGAAATATTCTTATGAACTATAATATGGAAAACTTCAAGAATTTCTGCTCACAAAATCTTGGGGAATTTAAGATCATACAGTCCTGTCCAGCCTTCAGCTTCTTCACGGCTTCACTCATACTGCCTTGAGTTGACCTGTCAATGTCAAAGCCACCAGCAGGGGAAGATCAACTTAGTACCACCCCCATTCTGTTGTCCTATGCAGACATTATTAACTTTAATAAGTGTAGTCAAAGGTTGTCCCCAAATCAAAATCTCAGTTTGAGAAATCTAGTCATTCATTCCATAAGCACACAAGTGGAAATGTCAGAGAACAGTGAACTGGCATAGGAAAAGAAAAACCAGGGCTTCGAATAGGTTTACTCCCGTTCGAGCCCCTGCTGAGAATTTGCCCTCCCTCAGAAAAATACAAATAGTTTTGCAAGATAAAAGCAGGGCTGAGGGGTTTATCTTTTGAGTCTCAGTGGTTTTAATGTAGCATTGTCAGCTGGTCCTTATTAAAAACAATGGAAAATGAAAGACACTGATTACAATAAAAAGTGACATGAGGGTGTGCTAAGCCACTTGCATTTAATGCATATTTATATTCCCATCAGATGGACATATATACCATAAACACTTGAAAATCCATAGCAAAGTCATTCGTTTAAATGCCAGAAAAATAGTAAAAGATGCTAATTTGACCTTAGTGGAACAGATCGAGTGTCACTGACAATGTACTCACAACGGCTTGAAACAGAAGTTACCAAGACGATTAATTAGAGTTTACTGGATTAGGTCAATAGTGTCTCAAATGGAAAAAAAAAAAAAAGAAGAAATATGAAGTTTGGATTCTTTCAGATTGATTACTTTAAGAGCAGACACAATTTAACAGTTTAACTCCATATTTATACCTCTCTAAATTAATCTCATATTATATCCCCGGGGAAAGAAACTGATGCACTGATCCCTGAGATGTCTATGTGAATGTGTAAATAAGAATAATAAACCAAAACCATTTGAAAGATTTTTTAAAAAGAGAGATGAATTAATAATAGAAACAAAGCTTCTTTTGCCTTCTTGTTGACATGCAAGTGGTTTCACTGTAATAATGCTACAGATCAAACAATGGTAAGCTTAACAATTAAGAAGGACTTTTATGAACTCCGCATAGAAAGCTTCAGGAATTTCAGCTCACAAAATCTTGGGCAATATAAGGATCATGAACTCCAACCTTCAAAACAAGCTGCAAATCCCCTCTGAACAGAGATTAGGGTCTCTGTGGGCTGCAAAGCCATTTGCTACAAAAACAATGAAACTGGCAGCCTATTACCTGTTACGGAAATGATCACACGTGACTTGTAGCCCTCACTTTAGCTTCCATGGCCACTGTGACTCAAATGTGACAATTGTGCCACTCTACATCTGCCTTACAAATATGCACTTCTGCTAAAAAATGAACCAGTCTGCCTGAGTCCTGCATATGAGGGGCTCTAGATGCCACACTTAATTCTCAATAATCAACAGCTCTGTGACATTGCTCCAAGCTGTATAGAACACACATGCACTCATAAATTCACGACACAAATCCCTCAACCTGACATTCTGCTCAATTTCATGAACTCGGAAAGCTCCCTAACAAATTCTTGCCACATGATTAGAAAATCATTCAAGTCTGTGGGAAATATTGCAACACAAAGAAGTGACAGTCAATTAGAAACGAGAAAGGAGAGAGTGTCCCTGCCATGAAAATCTTTAAAACCACGGCACGAAGATTAAAATGGCCCATACCATTCATGCAAGATATTCTTTAAAAATAGATATTAATTCTACTATATGTTAATCATACCGTGACATTATGCCCAAGTCCTTCTCTTGGAAACCAGGCTCCAAAATTTGAAAACTGCACGTGCAAATTTATATAATTTATACAATTTTGTAGCTTTTTTTACCCTATGGGCAGAAACGGAAAGCATATCCAACAGTTAAATGGTCCCCTCTTGAGGACAAAATATAGATGAAACCAACAAAAACCCTTGCCATCAAGTAGACTCCAACTCATAGCAACCCTATAGGACAGAGTAGAACTGACCCACAGGGTTTTCAAGGCTGTAATCTTTATGGAAGCACAGTGGTTAAAAGCTCAGTTGCTAACCAAAAGGATGGCAGTTCAAATCCACTGGCCACTCCTTGCAAACCCAATGGGGCAGTTCTACTCTGTCCTATATGGTCGCTATGCATCTGAATCGACTTGATGGCAACAAGTTTAGATTTTGTTTTTTTGGACTCTTTATGAAAGCAGACTACCACATCCTTCTCCTACAGAGCGGCTGGTGGGTTCGAACCACCGACCTTCTGGTTAACAGCCCAGCGCTTAACCACTGTGTCACCAGAGCTCCTTATAGAGACGAAACAAAGAACTCTTATTCCACTGTTTTTTGGTTAAGTTTTTCATGAAACACTACCCAATAGCACAGCAGTTTTAGTCACCACAGCATTTCCCATGCCTGGCTTGAACCACCTCCAGAGGAATCATGTCATTTTCTCTCTTTGGGTTACACACACGGGAAGGAACATCCCTTAAAGCAGAGCAAAGTACAAAACACCTGAAGACAACATGCTCATGTATCTCACTGCCACCAAAAATAAGTTTTATGTTTCCAAAAATAACCATTTGTCATTAACTTCTTTAGAGGAAACAACAGAATCAGCAGTATCATAAAATTACAAAAAAGTCAAAAACTGTGTAACTCAGAAAATTAACTTACTTGTTAGCTTGTTGTGACTGAGAACCAGTTGAGTGATATGGGACAAAGAGACTGCAAAAGAAAAAAAAAAATCACACAGTCAATAAATGGACCCAAATTATACCACCACACCTACGAGGTAAACTGCTAACTTAGTTTCACAGATTGACGTATTACTGCTCACAAAAATAGAAGGATTCATATAACACTATCCATTAAAGGTCCAACCAAATTAAGAAAAGTCATGCAATCAGCAGTAATTGCAGTGCAATTACCACAGCAAGTTAGAGCTAATGAGATTAATGTCAGGGGATCAAACATTACCAAGGCCAGTTAGCTTTGCTTGGCTCCCTGGTCTGCAGGGCTAACTTTAGCAATCCATCTCAAAAATACATGACAGTCAGAAGAACTGGCCAAGAGTGTGGAAAAGCATGATGTCCTTGTCTGTGCAAAAAAAGCCCCCATTCAGGCAAAAACACCATCTAAGGTAGGCAGTATATTACTTTATCTATGTCCATTGCCAGCCCAGAAATTTCACTACACATTATCAGATGATCAGAGTGAAATCTCTTCCCAATTTCCCTTAGACATATTTTGGGTGACATTGTAAAGCACATGTATATTGCACGCCAGTTTCAAACATTATCAGGGAGATTTAATCTGCTGAACAAGATTAAAGTTGCTAAAATAACAGTTTTTCCAACTATAAAAAAAGAAAATACACACAGATCAAAAAACAGAAGGAAAAAAAAAGTGGCCTTCCTCCCACTTTGGGTTCCAAACTTCACTGTGTGGTCAGTAAGATATACATATACATGTACAATATGATATACATACTAGTTAAGAAAGAAAGGTAGAATTTTTTTCCAATATTCTTTCTATAATAACATCCTATTAATTCAGCAGTTTTTTTGGTTTCTTTTTTCTTTTTTTTTTTTTTTACTAGTTTGTATTTTGTTTGTCAGTAAAGGGATAATAAAATAAACATTTTTTTCAAGAAGGGTCTGACTCCTGGACCCAGCATGCTTAGAAGATAATGAGTATTATCCTTCCTTGACCGCAACTTTTGTGTGTGTGTTTTAAAACATGACAAAGTTATAGAAAAGTTCAAAATACAGTACAAAGACTTTTTATCCCCCTGAACCATGTGAGATTACATTGAAGACCTGATGCCTCATAAATTTCAGGAAATACTTCCTAACAACATTCTCCTACATGACCACAATAGAGCCATCAAAATTAAAAAAAAAAAAAACAAAACAGAAAAATTAATACATTATTACCGTCTAATCCTCAGACCCCCTTCATGTTCTGCCAAATGTCCCAATAATTTATTTTATAAAAAAGGATCCAGTTCAGAATCACATGTTGCATGCAGCTGTCTTGTTTTTTTAGTCTCCTTTAATCTGAAAGTTAATCTTTCCTTGATTTTTATGACCTCAACAACTTTGAAGATTCCAGGTCAAATTATTTTTTTTTAATTTTTTAAATTGTACTTTAGATGAAGGTTTACAGAAAAAATAGTTTCTCATTAAACAGTCTGTACACATATTGTTTTATGACATTGGTTAACAACCCCATGACATGTCAATACTCTCCCTTCTCGACCTTGGAGGATCTTTTAATTTTTGGTGAAAATATACATAGCCAAAGTTACACCATTTCAAAAGTTTCTACATGTACAATTCAGTGACATCGATTACATTCTTCTGGTTGTGCTGCTATTCTCACTATCCTTTTCCAAATTATTCTATCACCATTATCTTCAACTCACTGCCCCCTAGGCTTCCCATCAAACCTTTTGAGTTGTTGTTGTCAATTTGATCTCACATAGATAATTTTTTTTTTTTGTACCTTAGATGAAGGTTTGCAGAACAAATAGTTTCTCATTAAACAGTCAGTACACATATTGCCCTCCGACAATGGTTAACAACCCCACGATATGTCACAACTGTCCCTTCTCAACCTTGATTTCCCTATCACCAGCTTTCCTGTCCTCTCCTGCCTTCTAGTCCTTGTCCCTGGACTGCTGTGCCTCATTAGTCCCGTTTCTGTTTCTTGGGGCTGTCCAATCCCCGGCTGAACAGTGAACGTCGGGAGTGACTTCACCAATGAGCTAAAAGGGTGTCTGGTGGCCATACTCTCGGGATTTCTCCAGTCTGTCAGGCCAGTAAATCTGGTCTTTTTTTGTGAGTTAGAATTTTGTTCTACATTCTTTTCCAGCTCTGTCCAGGACCCTCTCTTGTGATCCTGGTCATAGCAGTCAGTATTGGTAGCCAAGCACCATCTAGTTGTATTGGACTCAGTCTGGTGGAGGCTGTGGTAGTTGTAGTCCATTACTCCTTTGGACTAATCCATTCCTTGTATCCTGTTCTCTTCATTCTCCCTTGTTCCCAAAGGGGTGAGACCAGTGGAGTATCTTAGATGGCCACTCACAGGCTTTTAAGACCCCTGATGCTACTCACCAAGGTAGAACGTAGAACATTGACTTTATAAACTGTGTTAGGCCAAATGAGCTAGATGTTCCCCGAGACCATGCTCCCCACAGCCCTCCACCCAGCATTTCAGTCCCTCAGGGAGTTTGGATGTGTCTATGGAGCTTCCATGACCAGGTCAAATTATTTTGTATTACGTCCCTCAGTGTGGATTTGTCATTTGTTTATTCCTGATGACATTCAGGTTATGTGTCTTTGGCAGGCATGTCACAGAAATGCCGCATTCTTCTTGTTGCATCCTATCAAGTGGCACATGACTTCACTTGGTTCCATCATTAATGATGTTCTCGTTCATCACCTAAGTCTGTCAGGCTTCTCCACTCTAAATTTACTCATTTCTCCTTGTAATTAGTAAGTATTGTGTGTGTGGCAGGATGTATTTTAAAACTATCTAAATATCCTATTCCTCACCAAACTGTGAACTTATTCATGTATTCTGTGGTTCTCAACCAGGGCAACTCTGGCTCCCCAGGGGCCATGTGGAAATGTGTGAAGACATTTTTATTGTAACCACCAAGGCCAATGGAAAATCTAAAATTTCATATGTGGCCCACATAATATTTCTATTGGACAGTACTGATGTAAAGCAGTGGCATCTAGCAAGTACCATATTTTTTCGCAAATAACACGTGCCTTCTACATTTGCTTGCCAACAGCTCCCTCCCCCTTCAAGGTATTTGTATAAGCGTGCTATGCTAATTTTTTTCATAGCAACATGTAAAAAAAATTAGGCATAGCAGCGCTTATGAAAATACCTGGGGCAGGGTGGGGGGAGGGCGCGGCCAGCAAACAAATGCAGATGGCATGCATTATTTGTGTAAAAATACGGTAGGGGCCAGTGATGGTGCTAAACATCCTACAGTGCATAGGCTTATCCCCCACAACAAAGAATTATCCAGTCCCTAAATCATACTACTGCTTTTGAAAAATATGGACTTATTTATTTATATTTGTACAGCCTCACAGTTTCCTATTTTAGTTAATGGGTTACAATTTGTCATTGTTATTGCTTACAGTGGCAGCCCATCCAAGCTGGATTCTATGTCTTTTTGACATATCCCTATCATTCTTTGAGCACTTCCCTGCTGTCTGGCACAACAAGATATTCAAGCTCATCTTATACTTTCTCTGCCACAGCCCTGGAATCAGCCATTTCTCCAAGGAGTTCTGGTTCTTTTTTGTGGGAAATGGTATTTAGAAGCCAAAATCTGGGCACTAGATGTGTTCATTGGTATTGGGCATTACTACTCTCAGGCCTTCTCAATGGACAGAGCTAGAGGACACAAAAATGCACACATACAGAGACATACATAAGCATCTCTACTGATTTAACTATCTGTATTACTGAAAGCCATGAGATCACACCAATATATCCAATTCCAATGCAATATCACAGGATGAAATCCAGTTTTCTCCCTTTCTATATTTATAACTTCCTTCTCTGACAGTGAGAACCCTGACTTGTACTATCTTTAACCTATTTACTTATTTAATCAATATGCCTATGAACAGTTATCCTATGGATGGATTGAGACATCATAGAGCTTATCTCCAGGGACTCCTGGAAGTCTAGCACTGACTCTTAGTCCAAATTAGGACAAGTAGGCTAGCTAGAGATTTATACTGGTCTGTTTAAAGTTCAAGATACCACTGATGGCACCCAGGGCCAGCTTGTTTACATTGTTTAGAGACAATGGCTTACACCTGGTTACATAGCCTAGTTTGGCTCCATGACCAGCTAAGGCATAAAAGACACTGCTGGAAATTTTTGCTCAAGCTCTCCTGAAACAAAGATACACATACTGATGGTACATAATCTGCAGGCAAAATGTGTCCTGTGTAACTTCGAAAGAAACTTGGGAAGCTGCATCAGTGTCTCGGGCACCTGGCTTGCCTGTGCTTACTTTCTCCAGCTGTATCATACGCTTTGCCTTTATTAAATCCTTATGTGAGTATGTTCTGTGGAATCTTGAGTCCTTTCAAATATCCAACCTGTGTACCCATTGTAGTAACCAATCTATTCTCTCCACTTTCACCCCTTCCTCCTACCGCAGACACCCTTCTCACTCTGCTCAGACTCTTACACCCTATGTCCAGTCACCTTCCACAGGGACACCCACGTTGCCCTGCTTGGACTCTGACTTCCTATGCCAGGCTACCACCCACCCTACACAGATGCTTGCCTTCCCCAGTTAGGTTCTGGCACGCCACTCTAGGCCACCATGCTCCCTCCCACGCCCTGAACATCTATCTTCCCCTGTCCCATGTAATGGCTTTAGGACTGAATTATTAGGGAAGGGGGAAGAGGAAGGCAAAAGGGAAGGAGGGCAACAGTTTTATGGCTTTTAAAAGGATCCCGATGGTAGCTTCACATATGATGTTTAAGATTTTAGACACTGTGGAACATTTCACACGTTTTATTTGTAAGAGTTAAGATATTCCTGTCCACCAAATAAAGCATTCCTCTATCTCTGAGGTCTATAGACTTACATGGGAGAAAAAAATCCCAAAGAGCTGCCTTCATACAAACAAGATTAAATAGATTCATAGACATCCAGTTACGATTATGCTCAGCTT